CCCTGAAACCCAGAGTGCTGTTTGTAATTCACTCGGCCTTCGCAGGGCTAGAAACTCTGGCCCTCCTCATCTAGAACAGTGTCCCTCCAACCGTGGGTGGGGGTGACGCCAATCGCAGCAGTGACCCCATGGTCCATACCCTTTGCAACACCCCTGGCCCGTCTCCCCCCCAGGCTGCAAACTGCTCAGCAGGGGGTTCCAACGGATTCCCAGCAGGAGGGGTGGGGCTGCCAGGAACTGGTTCTTGATTAAATATAAACCCATCTGATAATTAGCAAACAGCCCACTTCTAAGACAAACAAATTGCAGATTTGGGCTCCGTGGGCCCCACCCTAGACCCTTCCCGCTCCACCTTGCAGCTGTGGGTTAGAAATCGGAGAGGAAAGAACGCTTTCCAGGGGCCTTGGGGGTGGGTTCCTCAAAGGTACCAGGTAGCATTCAAGTGGCCTGGGCAAAAAAGGTCACTGTCACCAAGACAGCCTCCTCCTCCCAGGCACCACCCTGGGAGCATAACCAGCCACCTTGCTATCTGGTATAAGCCTACCACAACCCAGATCTTCTTACAGAACAGAAAGTTGAGAGGCTGAGTGGCTCATCCGAAGCCAGGTAGCGAGCTAGTAAGAGGTAGATTTCACACCTCTGGAGTTAGGTCTACCTAACTCCAAACCAAGGTTCCAATGCCCTCCAGCCAGTCCCAGGAAGCAAGGCGGGGACATCCAAAAAAACCAGAGACTCCTGGGGTCACATCCAATCTGGACTGTACACGCTTTGCTCTATGAACTTAGACCAGCTGCAGCCTCAGTTTTGCTTTAAGGAAAAAAAGAAAAAACTGCATTACCTGCTCAGCAGAGGCCAAAAGACCAATGTTGAGGACTGGCTGAACTCTACCCTTTCAAAGTCCACACAGAGGCAAGGCGTTGTGAAGGTCTGGGCCTAGTGTTAGTATTTCTTATAGGTCCCCCTCGAGGCCCTGGACACTGAAATGCTGACTATCTTTAATAGGTGCTCGAAGGACAAGGTAAGACTCTGGAGCCCATTCCAACGCCCCCACTACAGAGGCATCCTATAGCCAAGAGGTAGAAAGGAAGTGGGTGACTCAGGCTGGCCAGCTAGTTCTCTCTTCCAATGACTCACTGAGCCCTATCCAGCCCCTTCCCCCAAGTTTTAAATGGTCATTTGGAAATCACACCTAGCAGTCCAGGAGACCGAGGACAGCTAGGAGTCAATTCCTCCCAGGAGGGAGCTGGGGCTGGGAGCCCATCCTGGCTCTCCCAGTTCCTCATTCAGGCCAATCGGCACTCCAAGTCCTTGGAAAAGCCCTCTGTTTCCAGGAGCTGAATGTCCTGCCCACCCCCAACTTCTCCTCTTGTTCAGGCTCTCTACCAAGAAGGCCAAGAACCCTCTCCTCCCCCATCAGTATAGCCTCTCAGGACAGAAAGGACCCTGGAGGACTCGGGTCCAACCTCCTCATGTTAGAGTTGAGGACACTGAGATCCAGATAGGGCACATTGCTCAAGGTCACCCGGCAATTCAGATGTAGGACCCAAGGGATCTCTACCTTCAACCCGGCCAATTTCCTGATCTGAAACGTTCTGTGAGGATACTCAAAACAGACACCTTGTGTTATCAGACAGACCTTGTTCTGACCTTGGCAAGCCATTACATTCCTCTGAGCATCAGTTTCCTGTAAAAATGGAGATAATACCTACCTCACAGTATCACCGGGAGGCATTCATATCAGCAAGAAGCTACCTCAGTGCACCTTTTAAAATGCAGTTACATGCCTGAATGTTATTTATCCATGCATACAAACATTTCCTGCGCACTAACTATGGGATAGGTATTTCACTAAAAATGAACAAAGCCGAGTCCCTGCCTTGAGTGTGTGGGGGTGGGGGTGGGGGTGACTACTCAGAATTTGGTGGGGTGTATTCATTCCCTCATCAACCATAACTTTCTTCAAGGGAGGGAATGCCTTAGGTGTCTTGATGTCTTTTCAAAGTGTAGGTACTTAATTATTAATAGAATACCTGGGCTGATAAAGGGCTCCCGAGGCCATTCAGTTCAAATCCCAATTTACAGATGGGGGTGGCAACCCAGAGAGGGAAAGGGACCCAACCTTACAGTCAGAGCCCCCCAAAGCATGGCCCAAATCTTCTCCTGGGTGCTTGGTGGCTCTCAGGGCTTCTAAGAAGTCCAAAGAGCTCTCACTGGTCACTCAAGGATCCTAGACCCCCCGGGCTTTCACCCCAACCCTACTCTGTGCGATCAAGGAGAGAATTCTCAAGAAGATCAGAAATATCTCTAAGCTAAAGTACAACGGTGGGGGGAGGTGAGGACGCACTTCCCCCAAACTGGCTGGGCCTGGTGCCACCTAGGTGGGCTGTGTCCAGGGGCAGCAATATCTCTAGGGGTGGGGGTAGGGGGAGTTCCAGCTCCCAAAACAAGGCTGCCTTTAGTTGGCCAGGGAGGGAGTGGCAGGAAGGCAGTTCAGGGGAATGCTCCCAGCTGGACAGGAAGAACTGGTTTAGGATGGCAAGCCCCGCCAATGGAGAAGAGGCAAGGAGCTCAGCCTGGGTTTCCTTCCCAAAACCTGTGGCACCTCGGGGGTGGGGAATACCACCCAAGGGGAGGGACCCCCACAGCACTATTGGAGGGGGACTGGGCAGAAATTCTGATGGCCTCCATGCTGTTACCCCAAAGTGGTACCCATTTTACCTCTCAGTTCCCTCACCTGCAAAGTGGGTATAATACAATCCCCACAGGCTTTTTGTGGACCTGGCATAGGTAAACACTCAATAAACCCTGACTACCATTAGCAAAACCCTTTTCCCTGGGCCTCGGTTTCTCTACCTGCAATAAAGGGGCCGACCAGATCATCTCTAGGATCTAATCCAACAATGATGAGGTCTGCTTTTTCTGACCACAACCCTGGGAGGAAAGGGGGTGGCGGGGCCAAAAGGGGAAGCCCTGTGACCCAATTAGAGAAGGAAGGTCTGTGACCTTAGGCAGGAAGGGGAGAGCTGAGGTCAGAATGAGAGGGGGACACTTCTCTCAGGAAGCAGCTGCTCAGGCTGACTTTTCCCTGCAGCTGATGGGTCACACGCAAGATTGACAGCCCTCCCCCAAAACTATGTCCTTCTGACTGCCCCGGGGACACAGCTGTCTACTCCTCACTCGGAAGCACTTGCAGCCTCAGCAGCCCAAGCTAAGACTGGCACGTGAGAGCCCACGCAGTGACCGCACAACCTCGGGGGGGTCTTTCCTCTTCTCCCCACACTGTCGAGGCTGGCGTATTCCTTTAGATGCCTCCCCAAATGCTAGACTCCAACACATCCTTCAGGGCCTAGTTTAGAGCACTGCACCAGGGAGCAGCAGGCTTGGGTTCGAGTCCTGACTCAGCCACTAACCTTCTGGCAAGGTTGCCTTTAGTTTGGGGAAGTCAGCCCCCTCACCCTGGGCCTCTGTTTTCTTCCACCTCAGAATTCCTTGAGGCTGGCCAGCCCGAAATCTTTAGATTCTAAACTAGTCTTGAGTTACCTGAGAATGGGACACAACAGCAGCCACTCATCGCAGCATCGGACTACTAGAGGAGCTGGGACTTGGAAGCCTGGCAGCCTAAATTTGAGTCTGACTCAGCCCCTTATTAGCTGTGTGACCTTGGGCAGCTAGTTAGCTTTCTAGCCTGAGGACCAGTTTCAGAACAGTCACAGGGTTTAAGCTAGTTGATGGAGCCATTAGAACAGCCATTAGAAAGCCATAGAACATTGCCAGGAACACCAGAAGCACTAAAGGTTTATCATCCCTGCAAGCCTGCAATTGTGCTGCAGGCGTTATTGCTTGGGGGCTTATTCATTCAACTGAAGCCTCCCAGGCAGAATCTCCTTTTCCCTAAATAAGCTCAGAGAAACGGTAGCCCCTTACCGGAACTAACCACAAGGTCTCCCTTTCCCCAAAACGAGGGCTTAAGGACACGAAGGGGGCACAAAGCCCAGGCTTTGGGGAGGCAGATCGCCTCACCCGGCGATTCCTGCGCTCCCAGCTTCCCAAAGGAGATCGCCTCCCTCCTCTCCAGCTCACTGCTGGGATGAATGGAGCTTCTGGTGGCCCAGAAGTTTGTAAACTACGACAGAAACCAGTGGGCAGTGAGAAGGAAAGGGTGAGACCTTCTCTCCACAGCCTCCTTCATCTTACTCAAGGCGGGTGCTTAGATTTCCCCATCTGCACTGAGCTAAAATAAGCACCCTTCTTGCAGAAAACGGGCTCATCGCCCCTTGAAAGCGTTGCGCGTAACCACCCCTCCCGCCCACCCTGGAAATATCAGTCTTAACTTTGTAGGGACCCTAAAAGAAACACTGGTCAACAGCCTGCCCCGCTCGCCCACACCCTTTGTGCAGATGGGGAAATTAAGACGGAGCAGGGGCAGGCTTTGCCCTCAGTCACAAGCCAGGGGCAGCGCTGTGGCCAGAAGTGAGGTCAGGGCTCAGTTCTCCAGTCCCCAGTGTGTTAAACAAGGCCCAGCAGAACCCCAAACTCCTCCCACTTCCGAGTCCTCGCAGCCCCCCTTAGCCCCAGGCATCTCGGATTCTAGAGCTGCCCGCTCTGGGCGCCCAGGAAGCGAGGAGGGGGGGTTGAGGCTCCAAGCCTGTCCCAGGATCACCAGGTTAGGGGCGACAGTGTGTGTGTGTGTGCGGGGCGGGGTGGGGGGAGAAGGTGACACCGGCTTAGTCACGTCCCAGCCTGGAGCCCGCGGCCGGGCTGAGGTCAAGGGGAGGCGGGAAGAGCAACAGGCTGGGGGCGCAGGGCGCGCAGAGGAGCCACCCCCGGAGGCCTCCCTGTGACCTCGGGGCAAAGTTTTCAACAAACTTTCTCCGGCCTCGATGTCTCCTTGGGAGCGGCGCAGCCCTCTGATTAACCCTATTCCACGCTCCCAGGAACAAAGAAGACACCGGTCCGCACCCCCCCACTCCCACCCCCGCCATCTATCTCTAAGCACCTACCGATTCCGCGGTAGCGGCGGAGGCGCCCACGAGGAGCAGCAGCAGCAGCCGGAGCAGGCAGGCGTGGGCCATAGTAACACCGAGCGGAGAGGTCGCGCAGGCGAGTGGCCGTGGCTGGCGGGCCGCCCTCCTTATAGGCTGCAGCCGCC